TTTCTCTAATCTGGAACAGTTTTTCTCCATCTTCAATCATCCTTCTATCTTTAAGGGACTCTCATAAGAAATGTTTTATTCCACTAGTGTATTTATTACGTTAATGTTTTTCAGTCAACACCTTAGATTTATTACTGTTTGTCTTTAAAGCTCAATACTTTTGGTAAATAAATGATATTGTAAAGAGTGTTCTCTGCCAAGGACACTCAACTTTTATAGAAATATGTCATTAAAAACTGTTTCTAATCTACTAATACATTTATCACAATATTCTCCAAATACTTTTACCCTGGTTGGTTTAATCTCAGATGTGTTCCGAGTTCACTCATCTTGTAACTTACTTTAACCTGTAATAATTCAAAATTTTGAAAGAAAATAAAAATTAGAAACAAAGCAAAAGGCTCCAGTCTGTCTCTCCTCTAGACAAGAACGACACTATGATCCACACACATGAGACTGTGATAAATGAAAAACATCTTTGACCTGTCACATATCTTCAGAGAGAAGGTCTGTGTGTATTCATATACTCACATCAACTTGAGTGCGGAGATTTGTTTTCTGTCTGGGCTACCAGTTTGAACTGAACCACGTTGGATCCTTCACATGTCATTGACAAACAAACAACAACTTATATACAGGCATTTAAATCCAATCGACGAAACTGAAATTTTAGAGAAAAGTAGTTAGTCAGCAAAAATTATCATTCATAGTGCAGAGAGAAAGATGGGGGATGAAAGATGATTTGCTAAAAACTAACATTTTAACAGTTTTATCAGCACCAGGATGGGTCTGGACAACCTGTCAAAAAATGGTTAATAAATACACAGAACAACTTTTATTTAATATCGTCTTTTTGGCACCAGATCTTAGAAAAAGTATTTATTAAAACTCTTTAAACCCCTTTTGTGTTAAAAAAAACTCTCCTCGGTAGCTTATTCTGGTACATATTTGGGCCCTGCAGCTTCTGGCCAGATGTCCGGCCTTCCCACATGTCCAACAGTAATACTGGCCCAATGACATTTGTCCTCCACACCTGATCTCCCTATTTCCACTTCGAACTCCACCCCTGTATGATGTAAATTGGTAAGTTATCTGCTCCATGTGGAAAGCTCCTTCAGTTTCTAATGGTGGGCTGACAGCTGTCATCTGGTCCATTTCATGTTTCCTGCATTTTTTCTTCTTTTTCTTAGTTTTCTCTCTCCTGTCTCCCAGCTGCTCTTTAACCAGTTTCTGGTTTACAGATGTAAACAAACACATCTCTTCATGATGTCTCTGATCTTGTCTCTCTATGTGGTTTACTAATGTAGCTATTAAAGGCATCAGCTTGGTAATTCCTGCACCAGTTTCATCTGTGCAGTCCCACCCTGTATTTCCTCCACCCCGTTTGTAATGGTATTGCTCGGGCCGGGCTCTACACCCAAACTAAGCAGGTCGCCTGTCAGTAAGTCCTGTCCCTCACCCCTCACCTCATCTGTTGCTTCATCTCTGTCTTTCTCCTTTATTTCCGCCCAGTCTCTCTCAGTGTCAAGAGTTTTTTCACCTTCCCCCATCCGCAGCACGGGCATTTGGAAAGCGACAGGTTCACCGGGGTTAACCTCTGCATGTTTGCTGTTCGATGTTTGTAGTCTAAGCTCAGGGTGGGATTCAGCTACTCGTAACAAAGTATTCACCTCCTTATAGGGCCTGTCATGGTCCCCAAGATTTAGTGTGTGTTGTTGGTGTAGATTGTGTGCAGAGATGTTGGTTTATTTCACCCGTCCCCATTTGGGTAGGATCACCTGTTTCATCAGTTTCATCCAAGCTTGGTGCTGTAATCACCTCAACGGCCTCCTTCAGTTTGTCCTGTTGGGTCTGAAAAAAATTACTGAAATAAAATGTGAGTTTCAAGAAATCTTGTGCCCGCATTGTCTCTTTAAGGGCCTTGCCCTTCATCATCCATCCTGCACCTTCAGCTTTTGTACGTGCCTGTGACAACCGGTTTTCCAATGTAGCTACATAACGACGTTGCTTTTCAATGCTTGGTGCAGGGCTATTTAAATCAATAAAAAACCCATCTGCAATGACTTTTTCTGTCCATTTATCAAATGTTTTAATTTGTCTCTTTGATTCTTGAAACGAAAGTGTTACGTAGTTTTTTCTTTCCTCCCACAGAGCCTTCAGGCAGTTGTTCTTCCATCGTCCTTGACCCTTGTTTATTACAGATGACACCTAAGTGTCGTTTTTATCTTGATTAGATTAAAATTACAACCTAAAATACGAACAGACAGAAACAATCAAAACAACAAAAACCGCTATCTTTCTATTTTCAGCTGTACAAAATCCTAATCCAACAAAAACATTTTACCCTCTTTTGACCATGAAAATAATATTTATCTGTCCCTTTCTGCTTGTTCTAAAAAAACTATCTGTCCCTGTTTTTAATAAATCCATATCCTCATCTGCAAAAACCTTATCCAGCAAAAACGTTTAACTCTTTTTTTGACCATGAAATTTATCTCCATCTGTCCCTCTCTGCCTGTTCTAAAAATTTCTAATTATCCCTATCTTAACCATCCATATATTCTTCTTTCAGGTACCTCTTCTAGACATTTCTAGGGATCATTCTTCTTCTAGAATCTTTCTAGGGATCATTCTATAAATTGGTGTACTTTAAAGGTTCAGCCGTTCAAGCTAGCGCATCCCTGACCGAAAATAGATGAGAATAAAAATGTATGTAAAAACAATATAAAAACAGCTATGTCGCTCGGGGATGCACAGCTGGCCAGTCTGTAATGTCTTTTGTTACAGACCTAAAGGAAACTATCATAAACAGAACCCCGAGGTTATCACGTTTTCCGAGGAGGATAGCAATTTCTCCTCACAGGCACCTAAAACCACATACGTTTTTTTCGAACTGTCACATAACCACACTACTTGACGCTGTCCAGACGTCCAAGTTTTAACGCGTTTCTAATAAACAGCGATGGGGAATTACGCCCGGGACGTCTTTCGGACTGAGCACTTTTTCTCGTAAATATTCTAGCGTCAACAGCAATGATGCCACAATTTTTACGTGGGGCTTTAAACCGTCAGCCACATCGTATCCTCTGTATTTTTCAATAAACAAACGACAATTTATGTACGGGCATTTAAATCAACTGAAACGAAGCGTAAATTTGAAAGAAAAATTAAAGTTTCGCGTGTTTAAAAACGCTCGCGGACCACTTCCGGTTAGCGTCGTTGCTAACGCTTCCGGCCCGCTCCCCGCGCGTCCAGGTGAAAAAAACATTACATATATAAATTGTTACGTCCGATAAATACACACAAAATCACGTATGAAACTGTAATGTTCTACTGCCTTTTAGCTCTTTAAAATGCGTGCACCGGACCGAAAACAGAGCAGGCTGAACCGTCCTTGTAGGACACGCAGAAATTTGATGTAACAGGTTTTCTGCTTACCTTGAGATGATAATAGCCGGCTTATTCAGTCTGCTCTTACTCCGTTCACCTGCTGCTTTGTCTCCATTAAACAATAAAAAAGGAGAGCTGCCACTTCTACAGACGAGAGGCCAGGTTTCGGCACCAGCTGTTAAAGACGAGAGCTGCTGCTGGCCACCGGATCCGGAAACCCCCTCCAGCCCATGTCTTTACCCCCGGCTCGAACCTCCCTCAAAAGTGGCAACTCATGCTAACAAATAAATCAAGGAAACGTCCATTGAGTTTTATCAATTATATTAAAAAAGGCAGGAGAAGATTACAATTTCCCAGCGCTGGACTCTACGCAATCCTGTGACGCGTTCACAGAACTGGAAGAACCCCGAAGTCCCATGTCGTCACTCATTTATGGGGTCCTAGACTCCGCCTTTCGCAGAAGGGGAGCTCAGCCTATCAGTGCATGAGGGGGCGTGACTAAGTGTGGTTTTATGTGTACTGATGTGTAAGGAAAACATGAGACGGTGCTTTAAAGCCTTTTCTACGTGATGTGGCAAGCTGATTAAACTATTTCTTGACAGATATTGAATTATCAGGGAGACTCTCTTAAGAGTTTGCTGGCCCAGTTTAACCCAGTCAGAACCGGGTCATAATTTCATTATAATCCCGTCTCTGAGCAGATCAAAACATAGGACCAGTCTAAATAGGAAATATCTTAACAGTGTCAAACTGGTTGAAAACAACAAAGTGCATGCTCAATAATCCAGGTACACTGGTTGTTTTCAACCAGTTTGACACGACTGTCAACAAGGAAGAGGGCCGGCATGGAGGAGGGGCGTACCATAGAGACCATCTTATCACAAACAAAACTGGTTTGTTCCACTTTGGAGTAAGCTATTGGGGGAAGAATCAGTTTTGTTGTGTTTCCTTGACTGATGAAGCCTTCTGGATCGAAGGCGAAACGATTCAGCACAAAAAAAGAAATTGTCCAGATGACCTGACTGAAAAATGTTGGATTGTATACCTGGATTATTGAGTTTCTGTCGAGCCTGACGCCATTGTGCAACCGGTTAAAGCACAATGTTGACTTCTTCCGCTCCCTGCTCTGCTTTGCTTCGCAGGTCATGTAACCAGATCATATGACCAGTCAAATTGCAGCCTTTGCGATTAGAAGATCTCATTTTATCGTATTGCGATATCATTGCACATTGCAAATGCAATTAATTGTTCATCCCTAGTCTGGAATCAAAATCAACTGGGACACCACAAGTTTTAAATATTTTGAAAAGAAAACATAAACCAGTAGTCACGGCTCGATCCGCTGAAAAGACGGAGCTCCTTCATGTCAGGCCCTCTGAACGTGGACAATGGGTTACAGAGGGCTCCACCAGTTGGTTTTCTATTTTGTCACCTTACAGCTAGAATTTAAATGAATTTTAATTTAATCATAAATAATAAGCCTCCACAGAATCCTCAGATTAATGAAATTAAACGGATAAAAGCTTGGACTTTTAGATCAGCTGTCAGCCAGGTAATATCCAGATATCCTCACTAAAACTGTTCCTCTGCCTTTTTTGGACCTTTTGCAGTGAAGTGTTGGACAGTCTGAAGTCGGTGATTGACAGGTCCAAAGGTCTGAAGATTACTGCAGCTCGTCCTGTGATTTTAGCAGCAGAAGAGAATCTCCATAAAATGGTTGTGGACTTAGACAAAGTGGTCTCTAAGGTAAGATCGCTGTTCTTTTACATGTTCTGTGCTGAAGATAAGGTTATCTGTCTGTTTTGTTCTCCTGAAGTCAGGTTTGTAACATTTAGCTGAATCACAGCTGTGGGTGAAGATCTGATGCCTTAGGGGCATTTTCAGTCTTTTAGAGGTGTTTTGGAGAGTCGACTCCTGCGAAGGAGTTCCAGTCATTGTTTATCGAAAATTGAGTCATTCTCTCAAATAGAATATTATAACAATAATAATAAGTCAGAGCTTCTTGGCTTTCTTTTAAACGCTCAGACACTTCTCACATCACATCAAAGAGCACATCATAGCTGCAGTGTCAGATTATCTTTTTTCTTCTGTAATTTTAAGGGGAAATGTTTTTAACTGTATGAATTTTCATTGTTTGTTTTTTAAGTTGTTTTGTGCTAAAATGAAGCCTCTTATTTAGAACATTTCTAGTAAACCGTTCTGATTGATGAATAATTTTACATTCAAAATCTGAACAAAATGCTTTTTATTAATATTGGAACAAAGATTGACCAGATCAGATTATTATTATTTTCTCCTTGTAAAAACAAGTTTAGAGCCCTGAGTTCAAAGGTCCCCTGGCTTTAATGAGACATTAGAAAGTCAAGTTCAAGTCAATTTTATTGTCATTTCCATCACATGTGGTGCATAAGGTGGAACAAAATTATGTACTCAGGGTCCCAGTTGCACCTAAAAATAGCAAAATTATAAAGTATAAAAAGAAACAGTAAATGAGGATCTAGGATATACACTAAGATATATGCTAAACACATACCAAACAGTACGCTGAAAGATCTAAGATATACGCTAAACACAGATAATGTAAAACAATACGGCGTAATAACAGTGTGTATAAATGAAAAACCAATCTAAGGTCTGAAGAGACTCTGAAAGAATCAGGAGATTCAGTTAATGGTAAAAGCTTTTTTCTGTAAAGTATTGTTAAATTATCCTCTTTTCTCACCAACTTATAATTGAATTGGATTTATAATTTGGACTTGTGCTTATTGTTGTAGTATTCCGAGATGAGCTTTGTTCTAAATTGTAGCTAAAGAAATATTCTGAATTGAAGCCAAAAGTTGTGTGACCCACAACCAACGAGAAGCCATGCTAACTGATGTGTAACACCAGATTACAATAAAAACTAAGACAAACAAGACTGTCTTACAAAATTGTTTTACAAGATACAGAAGGACCCATCACTGCTCAATGCTTGGCCTGCCACAGGACCTTTAGCTTCTCCCATGAAAGAAGTTGTGACCTCAACCATTCAACAACTACAAAGACTGTAAAACAAAAAGGCACTAAAGGGTTAAGGGTTGTTATTTCTCTCAGGCTGGGTGCAGCTCCCTGATCTAGAATCAGAACTGATGTCTGATCCTTGTCTTTGTAGGTGCAATCAGCAGAATCTGAAGCAAAAATTGTTACCCAGTACAGTGAACTGGTTAATGAGGCCAAACAACAGTTTCAGAGGGAAGTGAGTAGCCTTACTCCAGAGATCCAGGCCAACTGGAAAGGCCTCAGTAAGTACACCCAAACATGCAGCTCATTTTTATCACGTATAGCCTTTCTGTACCTTCACTGACACAGTTTCAACCATTGAGCTGAAGTGTTACACTTGATGGAAGCTGTAATCAGGTTTAAGTCATGGTGAAGTTTCCCAGTTCTTTAAACTAAACTCCTTCCTTAGTGGGCCAACTAATCACCTGCAGGTTCCAGAACTGATCTCACAGCTTATTATTTCTGACACATAATTTGGTCAAATGGAATTCTGTAGATTCATCTTTGTTCCAGTCAAAAGGTAAAACTGTGTAAACCTGGCTTCACACAAACCACTGTCTGATGCAACTAGAAATAAAAACTAGTAAACATTTGGCATGCTCTATCATCTCTGCATGTTTGTCTGTCAGCTGGTAAACTGACGGCGGATGATCTCAATGCCCTGATTGCCCATGCACATCGACGCATTGACCAGTTGAACCGAGAGCTGGCTGAGCAACGTGTCAGGGAGCAGATCCACATAGACGTGGCATTGGAGCAACAGAAACTGGAGGACCAAAAGCTTCTGGAGAAAGCTGTAAACACAGCAATGGTGCATGTAAGAGAGGAGGCCAGGCTGGAGCAGGAGAGGAAGGTATGTGTGCTCTGTGTTAGCAACACTTTCTTACTAGTAACAGATATGTTCCTCCATGCTGAGTGGTATATATCAGCTAAAGACTTGTTACCTTCCAGCTATGTAGCTGCTGTTAATTGGTTACATATCTGGAACCTACCAGCTACATATCTGGTACTTACCGGCTACATATCTGGTACTTACTAATTACTCACTATTAGCTACGTGGCTGGCACTTACCGGCTACATGTCTGGTACTTACCAGGTACATGTCTGTTACTTATCTTCAGTGTGTCTGGTACTTACTGGCTATGTATCTGGCACTTACCAGCTACATTTCCAGTACTTACCCGCTACATTTCAGGTACTTACTGGCTGCATAGGGGCGGCTGTGGCTGAGTAGGGGCGGCTCTGGCTGAGTGGTTAGAGTAGTTGTCCTCTAATGCAAGAGTTGAGGGTTAGAGTCCACCAACAGTCACATGCCGAAGTGTCCCTGGGCATGACACCGAACCCCTCATTACCTCCGATGTGTGTCCCATCGGTGTATGAATGTGACCTAAAGCACTGATTATTCTTTGTATAGATATTGCAGAGTGCTGTATGAATAGAGTTGCACTTGGGTCCAAAAAATCCGACCCGGCCCCAGCCTGCAGCCATCAGCTCCGAACCCCACCCAATCCAACAAATTAACAGTAATTACAGGTCAGAACCCCCCCAAAAAATTTTCAAATTCAAAAGACCTAACATTTTTAATTAAGCTTTGACTGCTTATACTATTTACTTATACCTTATACCTATTTATTACTGCTTAGACTATTATTAATGGTCGGCGGATGCACGCGGCTGAGTAAAGGGGTCAGAAGATCGAAGCTGAGGAGCCGTCAAAGCACATTCAGTGCTTCGCCTGCCTCTGCTTACATTGAACCCTACTCTGACATGTCGGATATTTTGGGATCTCACCTGTTTGGGTCGTTGGCCGCACGCATCTGCTGAGTGTAACGGCTGAATGAACATCCATTTGGACGATGGATCGCTGGCAGCGGTCCATCTGACACTTAACTGAACTTTTTACCTCTTTCAATTGGCCAGTCAGCGCGCAGTCAAATGGTCACCTGCAGCAGGTGATAGTATGGCAAGCCTTGTTGGCATATAATTGGATCTTCGGCCGTGCGCGTGGGGGGGGGGGGGGGTCCGTGTGTCCTCTCACAGAAAATTTTGATTAACAGAGATGCCATTTCCTGCATTTTGGTGTATTTTAATGGGTTGTTATAGAACATCAACATTTAGCTATATTTGTAGACACTTAATAAAATTATTATTCTGGAGAGGAACAGCAGGTTTTGTGTGAATAGAGCAGCTCCGATTCTGTCAGGTGTCCTAACCCCCCCCCCCCCCCTCCCCTCATTTCACGGTTCTGAGCTGAACTCTTCTCCGCTGAATTCAGTCCTGGTTGTTGCTCTTGCTCCAGTCTCGTGGCACCATTTGAAGCACCTGAAGGCTTCAATTCTTGGTTGTTGGACAATCCATCCATCCATTTTTTATTAAAGTAAATTGGACTGTCTTTTTGACATTTTGATCGCTGTTGTTATTTTGACAAATTAGCGCCGTTGTTTTGAAACGTGACTTATAATGTGAATAACACATCAAACATTTCTATCTGTATTTTTTATTTATTTTTTACAGTAAGCTTTTTTTATTTATTATGTCTGAGATGTAGACACCTGCTGATTTTGTGTGCATGCTGTGTAGAGCTGTCTGGAGATGCTGTGCAACGTGCATTGTCCAAGAGGGTATTCTGTTGAATAAATTATTCTTTCTGTTTCGGGAGTCTGAGAGGAGTGGAGAAGGGATGTTTTTCAGTGCGCAGCCCCGCTGAGTAGGGACAATATTTGGAGAGAAGGAGTGAAGGATTCTGCACAAAACTTCCCTGCGTAAATGTGACCATCTGGAGCGTGTGAGCGAGCTGTGCGCTGCGCGTGCTGCCACTGGAACATCCACCCCACAGACTGGGTCCGCCAGGCTAAGGGCAACATCTCCTCTCGTATTTTTAAAATAAAATAATATGCAAAATAAAAATGCGCTATGACTTTGGACTTTTAGGGGCGGAGTTGCCGGTTCCGAAAAAAGAGTTGCCAGAACAGATCTTGTTCCGGCAGGATCCAGCTCAAATTAACTACTGTTTACTTGTCTGATACTTACCAGTTATGTGACTGGTACTACTGGCTACATGTCTGGTACTTACCAGCTACATGTCTGGTACTTACCTGCTACACGTTTGATATTTACCAGCTATGTGTCTGGTACTTTCCATCTACATGTCTGGTACTTATTGGCTACGTGTCTGGTACTTATTGGCTACGTGTCTGGCACTTACCGGCTACATGTGTGGTAATAACCGGTAGGCCTGTCGCAATAAACAATAAGTCAATTAATCGCATGATCAATAAAAATTATCAAACTCTTTTTCATGTATTGGCTTTATCGTTTCTTCATGTCTCTCTCTCTTTCTACCAAAGACACTGGATGCCAAAAGGCTCAACTCCAGTGCTCTTCACTGACCCCTCTCTCTTTCGCTTTTCTCTTTAAAATCTGTTTTAACCATCTAAAATGTTTTTTGATAGTTAAAAGCAGCTAATGAGAAACTAAGCTACGAGTTAAGCTAACGGGCCTACCTCAGGATAAAACATCCGTCTTGTTGAAGCTGCAAAATTCACAGTTGAAACCCATGCCTTTGTATAAAAAGTTTTTTTTCTCTGCAAAAAGAAGCTGAAAACTTGTTTACTGATTTGTTATTAAAAGCTTTGTGTGAAAAATGCTATGCTAAAGAGCTCAAACCACACTGAGTGTCCACCATTTTGAGAACCAAAAAAAGGACAGACAGCCCATGTCATGTCAATAGGCCTCCCTCCCATTTTTTCTTAAAGAGACACGCTGCTCGCTCCCTCACTATCCATCCTTCGTTTCAAACTGTCTTATGCTGCCATCCAGTGGTCAAAAAAGGTACTACACACAAATTAACCAACATTTCTTCTTACATTTGGCAATAATTACTAATTATTGTCAAATTTCAAACAATATTATCGTTTATCGCAATAATTTCTGAGACAATTAATCGCCCAGCAAAATTTGTTATCGTGATAGGCTTACTTACCGGCTACATGTCTGGTACTTATTTGCTACGTGTCTGGTACTTGCCTTCTGTGCGTCTGGTACTTACCTTCTATGTGTCTGGTACCTAACCGCTACATGTCTGGCACTTACTGACTACATATCTGGTATTTACTGGCTACATATCTGGTATTTACTGGCTACGTATCTGGTATTTACTGGCTATGTATCTGGTATTTACTGGCTATGTACTTAGTACCTATTAGCTACGTATCTGGCACTTACAAGCTACATGTCTGGTATTACCTGCTACGTGTCTGGCACTTACCTGCTACGTGTCTGGCACTTACTTGCTACGTGTCTGGCACTTACCTGCTACATGTCTGGCACTTACCGACTACATATTTGGTATTTACTGGCTATGCTTCACCACTCGCTCCCCACGAGATCGGATGCTTCTCTCCCTCCCTCTCCGCTTTGCTTTGCTGCTCTGTCTGTCTGTGAAATTGCTGTGAGACTCTCTTGCATTTCTTCCAAACCATAATTATGGACTTGTTTTGACCAGTTGGTCCCTCATCTCAATTTACAACATTTCTTCGAAGAGAAGACAGGCTTTGGGCGAGCCGATTTACCCTGTTGGCACGTACGCAGCTGGATATCTCATCGACTGGAAAACTTGATGATATGTCTATCTCTGCTGCCATCTGTGGATTTTAAGGATGCATATTTAATTGGATTTTCTATAACTGGTTCCTGCTTTTTGGATTCAGCTGGTGCTGGTTTTATCTACAATCAAGGAAGTCGTCAGCAGCAAATTTGGACCCGATCACGCTGCTTGCCTTTATGATGGCTTGGTTCATGTCTGGAGTACCCGGACTCAAATGCTTTGGGCTGAATGGATCAGATCTTGGGGGTTTTTACTCAGACACGTTCTATTGGTGTGGCCATGTTAATTTGGACATTTCGGAACCGAGTGGACCAACACAGACTGAAGGTTGATGTCATTAAGTTCTGCCTGTCCCCAAAACAACTGTGTGTTTATCTAAATTTTGGTCGCCTTGGTTGTCCTTGAAGGCCATCTTATCTAAAGTCGCCTGAAGAAAATGTGATCTGATGCTCACCACCCCCTCCCTGAGGAATTTCCAATTGATAACCAGATGAAACCCCGCTGAAAAAACTTTGTGTCATCATTTCAGGACTCTGGATTCTTATAGAGGTTATCCTTAGCCATTTCTCGACATACCTCGAGAATGTTTATGGATCTCACCGGAGGACATTGACTGATTACAGTGACCTCGAGAGCATCTGTAAGCGTTGTTGACCGGTCTCGTCTCTTCCTTCTTCCTGCTAGCAGTGTAAGGATGGTACCATTTGGTGGCTCGGTTTGTGTCTGTGTTTCCCTAGTGTGTTCTCTTTAGTTTAATTGGTGCCATCCTTGTCTCGTCACAGCTGTTTGTAATCACGTCTCGTCTTGTCCCTGTATATAAGCCGTCTGTTCAGTCTTGTTCTTTGTCGCGTCGTCTTCATTGGGTCCCTGTGTCTTCTGAGTCTTCTGAGTTTCCTGTATACCTCTGAGCTTCCCGTGCCTTCATCCCGTTTGTAAGTTGTGCTGCCTCGTCAGCCAGTTATTTTTGTATTTTATTATTTATCATTAAATTTCTATTTTTTACTTCTGCCGAGTTGAGTCCCTGTCCGCACTACTAGGTTCGCCTCAACCAGAAAACCCTGACATTACGACGCGACCATTCCAGAACCCAGCGGGCAGGGTTCTCTCTCGGCAAACTCACCTTTTTTCTTTTTTCCCTCCGCGAGCCATGATGGACGAGCTCCACTCCGTCCCTGTCCTTCTGCCGTCCCGCCGCCGTAGAGGCGGAAAGCGGCTCCGGAGGCAGTCCGCGGCGACCGGCCCGGTC